AGTGTGCAACTGGAGGGCTGAACGTCACAGGAACTCGAGGGTTTCATACCATGCCCTCAAAAACTAAGGGGTGTGGCAGCCCCATCCGTACCAAACTTTCCTGCTCAAATCACTTACATAATATTTACAGAACAACAGCAGAAATACAAACAAACTGAAAAGATAAACTGTATATCAGCGTAACTTTTAAAAGAACAAGTTATTTCTTATTATGAAGTATACAGTGTGAAGCAAAGATTGCGTATCAACATGATATTTTTAAGTCCCACCTTTAATGTGATTTTTCTAAGTCATGTTTGTGTTTCTCTCACTGTTTCTTTTTCTTTAGTTAAAATAATTAGTTAGGGTGTCATTAACCCTGCAAGAACTTATAGAAGTGGTTCTGTTATGACATTGTGTAGTTATATCAATGGTGCACATTTCGAAAAGCTGTAAGGACAGGACTTTAAAAAAAAAGCACAGTGATGCGCGATATTTGCACCATCATCATGTATATTACTAAGGAAGTTAAATTACGTCAGTAATTTTTAATATAAAACACACATAATGTATTAACACAAAATATAACGTAAAAATGCTATGATAAAGGGACGGATTAATTTTATGTGTATTTAGTTCCTTTTTAAAAAAAACAAAAAATTAATTAGTCAATATTCAGTCTTGCAGGGTAGGTTCATCACGGTCAAGTGCTAATAAATACACTTGTACGGTGTGATACTTTATCAGCATATTCTACTTCACTGTTAGGACAATACAAAAAGTAACATTTATGCATTTAAATTTCATAACTGGGAATACTTAACATCCGGATACACATTTTCCTTTTATTTTCTATCAGCAGTAGAAAATATTTTTCTATCTACTCACCATGCAACTGAATAACTGGATGTAACACAGGAGAGGGTGATCTAAAATGCCACAATCGCGCAATTATTGACATAAATACATAGGCACAAGAAGAAGTACTGGCTAATGCCACTCTGGGCCTTCACGCACTGACACTCGTAAGCGCCCATAAAATGGCTTTTGCGAGAGCTTATTAGAGCCCCTGTCAAGTCTGTCATGGTGCTCGCTGTTCATGCAATCAGCTGTTATTTTTTTTACACGGGCCAAGCTCACATATAAATTCGTGTGATCCTGTTGGCTCCTACGACTCCGATATTTTAATTTGAATTGGTTTAGACTAACGATGTTACATGCACAGTAATACGATATTTTTGAACTATGTTGTTGTATTATATAGACATCCAATATTTGTATTTGATAAATTAAGTCAAAGTGTTAAATTTTAAATTACAAAATTAGTTATTAATTAGCAGAAAATTCAGAACAGCAAATAAAGCTTAAACAAATTTGGTCGTGACCTAAATTGCATTTGATGAGCTACTTTGATTTTCTGCACGACACGAGGCCGCAAGGGCTGGTATATTGATCGGAGATAGTCATAGTTCAGTTCTGGTTTTACTTTCAATTATAAGCATATCTCAGTTTAGCCAGCGAAACACTGTTTTGTTGTCAACATTCAGCAAATAGAATCTTGGTGAACAAATCGGATTTTCTTCCTCAAATGACACTTTAGGAAGAGACATTGTAACAAAAATGTTTGCAAGCTTTGTGCTAAATACAGGAAGAAAAGAAGTGAAAGGGCGCAGCCAGCAAGAGGTGGACAAATATATATAAGTCAATGAATTCATAACGAAGTACACCGTCACTCCCAATCTGATTTAAAAACACACCAAACTGCTTAAGTATGTATATATCTTTTGTTTTTGTACTCATTACTCAAATTTATAACGATATACCTTCACTGTTTGTCATTACGCATAAGGCCTGCATCATCAACTACCTACATTTTAAAGTAAGTATACTATAATCTCGCCTTTTATTCAAAGGTAAATCCAAACGTTGCCTGTACAGGTCTATGTCTGTATAGATGTTGCCAGCATCTACACAAAGCGGAGGAAAATGGTTACTCTCAAAACAGTTATTAGTGTGTTAGACATATTCAGCGATTTGATTAAGCTTAGTTTACATTAAAATATGTCATGGACTTCGTATGTATTTATAAGTTATTGGCCAAGGCCTAACTTGATGACATTGATTTTCAAGTTACTTGTGCATTTTGATTTGGCTATTTGTTAACTTTGTATCAAGTGATCATATACTAAGGTAATTAGAGAATTGATTTTGTGGCGTTTATTATTTAAGTACCAATTTAAACATAATTACACATTTCTATTTTATGTACAGTATTATCTGTTCATTGATTTTTGTTATTTTTTATAAACTGGTAGGCCTATACATACGTTTTTTTTGTAAATATATGTTATCAGTCATTGTGTTATCTTTTACATAGATTCTACTGTTCATTTATTTTATCAATTCAGGCTTTGCTGTTTTTATTCCATTGTTTTATTACAATGTATGTTCCTTGAAGATGATGAGAAGACTCTTCCTGACACCAGCATCCCTCTTCAATCTCGGATAAAAGTGGCTCTGCATGCACAAGCTAAGGAGCCATACAGAAAGCTTCTTAAAGCAGTTTACTTGCTTAATGTGGATGGATAGCCTCTGTCGTCATTCAAAACTAGTTAAAAGTGCAAAAACAAAGTAGGGTACACCTGATTTCAAATTTGATAACGCCAATGGAGCAAAATAATTTAGTAACGTTATTTCAGAAGCCATTAGTGAGAAAGTAGCAGTGATTTTATGTTCAGAAATAGCTTTTTCAATACTTAGTGATGGAAGTCAGGCAAATAAACTGGCTCTGAAAAATAATTGATTTTCATTGAACTGTCAAGCAAGGTATATCAGTTTATTTCTGTGTTTCCTTACAGGACATTGATAGTTTTGCAGATGCAAATAATCTGAAGAGGAACTTTGATAATGCATTCAGAAGTGATGGGAAGGTTTCAATTCCAGCAGAGAAATACACGTACCTGCTAGTTTCAGCTACAGCTGTTGGAGCCTCTGTTAATACTGGAGATTACAATGGATTGGTAACAAAATTGAAAAATCACAATCGCCTTTGGCATTCATTGCGTTTTCCATAGAGTTGAATTGGCATTAAAAATTAGTGTATCTAAGTCAATTGCTGTTGTGAAAGACTTTATGACAACTATATATTACTTATTCAAATACTCTGAAAAGTTCAAAAAGCATTTTGAAACAACTGCCAGTACATTTGGTGTGTAGCATTTTGATTTACCTAATGTGCACACACATATGACTTAATGATTTATTATGTAATTCTTGCTAGAGCAACAGAGAATTACATTGCCAGTTGCAAGGAGAGAGTAGTATTGGCTAAATTTCATGTACTCTTAAAAAAGGATGAAATACTTTAATTTTCTGTCAAAATGTTGCTTGTACAAAGATCTGCAAAATGCATGTTCTATTCTGTCTATGCAGTTTGATAAAAAAAAGCATTTTATGCTATCAGATACTGCCTATGGTAGAAAAAGTAAAGAATGCCTTACAGGAACTTAAGGAAGAAACTTCACGTATGCACTGTGAAAACCTTTTGAAAAAGTTCAGACTTGAAATGGAAATGAAATCAAGTTCCTGGCATCTTAAGAGCACTTAGCTTAACACAGGGCACCAGAAAATGTAAAAAGAAAACAGGGAATACGCTATTGTGAGTGTTAACTACAGTCTAATGAACAATATAGACTGTGCTAAGAAAACTGTAGACAAATTGAGAATTACAGTCATTCCAAGAGCTTGTATTGATCTCCGTCCCACCAAACATGCTCGCCCTTTCAGCCGTGGGGGCGTTATAATGTGACGGTCAATCCCACTATTCGTTGGTAAAAGAGTAGCCCAAGAGTTGGCGGTGGGTGGTGATGACTTCCCTCTAGTCTTACACTGCTAAATTAGGGACGGCTAGCGCAGATAGCCCTCGTGTAGCTTTGCGCGAAATTCAAACCAAACTGATTCAAGATTTTCCTCATTTGAGAATGAACTATATTAAAGTATATTTTAAATAAATCCAGCAAACTAGGGTAACACCATCTGGAAAATTGAGTGTTTATAATTATTTGCAGAGCATTTTCATGAGACATTAAAAAATGTACAATTTTTTTAAAACTAAGATAAGTTCAGAATAGAAAGAATTCAAGAAAATGGTTAAGTGCTACACGAATGGAGTCAAAAGTAAAGATCTCTGGGAATGTGTGCTTTTATACAGAAGGAAGGAATTTAAAAATATTTGTTTGCTGGTAGAAATAGCATTCTCGTGTGTTTTGAAAATATAACTTAAAAAAGTAAGTAACATAACACAAATGTATTTTTGCATACAATTAACAAGAACGAAAACAAAACTTTTTCACGCATAGATGAAAATAAGTCTATTCTTATTCACAATTTCAATACTAGCCTACGAAACACAATGTCAAAACGCTAATCCTAAGTGTGGATTCTTTAGGTTTTTACTGTGACGTCATACCTATATGGTGGAACGCGTTTTTGGTCAGCTTTGGCATGATAGACTACTATTTACGGTCACGTCTGTAATGAAGTATTCCTTTCTTTGTTAAATACCTAATCTTAAATTTGCCATACGTTAGATGCATATATTGACATTCATAAGTTTAATACTGTTCACAAGACTGAGAATAGTAAACAAGTTAGTGCTTTTCATATTACATGAAAGAATGAAAACGTATAATTTTCCAATGGAGTTCAGCAAGGGCCTTAGGATTCGATTACTACAACTTCAAATAGTGGCTGCAAGACAGATTTTGAAACAAACCAACAATCACAATACCAGCATTATAAATAAATATTGAAACGTTTCAACGTACATTTTACTTGTTAAGCACTTTTATAACATATCAAATTATGGTCACTTTACTGTAGCAAAAGATACTGAGTTTAAATGGAAAATAATCTTTATGATGTTAAAATATAAGAAATTTAAGAACATTACATAGAACACATTATGAGATTAAAGTTAATCGTTAAGCATTTAATTTAAAAAGCGAATTTACGTAATGTACCTTGTTTCCGCAGAATCGGATGAGAACCGAATTATGTTCTCCGCTAGGTCACCCGCAGACTCAGACAGTTAACTGTTTCGTCTGTAAATCAAACAAAATAGTAAAACACACTGTTGATTTTTCACCTTGTAAACTACTAAATTAAAAAGGGAATACCTACAAAACACTTCAATTTCTAACAAGTACAGGTTAAGAGAGTGACTCAAGGAACAATGAGAAAAAAAGGAACTATGACTACAGGCTATATGTATGAAAAATCAAGCGCGTGTATGCGCGTGCGCGCAAACTAAGAAAAAAATCCTTCCTTTGTTTTTTTTTCATTTAAGTTATCAATTTTGTTGTTTTACCACTTCAATTATCCTCTCAGTACTTTACATACAAAATTAGATCACAGTTTCAAAAGCATTTATCTACTTCTTCATACAATTACACAGAGTTAGAACAAAAGTTAAAACAGTCCCTCTATACAAACAAAGATAAACTGTTAACTCAATAAATGTAGAAATCAGTAGATAAGTATTAAATCTTGAAATGTATATTCTTATAAACTAAATATACAAATATGCATAGAGATTTAATCTGTTAAACAGCGTATATCCCTCTTACTGCGTGTCCTATTTCCGCAAATACCATTCTTACTAAGGTACGTGTTACCTTTCCAATAGTTTTATATAACTGTCTTTCCTGTGCGAAGCTTTCTTATTTTTGACCTTATTATTTGAATAGTTTTAGTTAGAATATAATAAACGATAATATGATAATGTTTTACGCTCTCTTCCTTTAAATATTAAAATTAACACAATCTTTATAATATTTACATGTGTATACTGTATATACGCACAAACAAAGAAACATACATATATAATCATATACATACGTTATTATATATATATATATATATATATATACTTTTTGCAAAGTATTCTTTTGTATCCTGAATTTACGACAGTCCCGCACCTATTATAGTTACCGTATGTAGGTAAGTACACTTCCTAAATTCCAAACCTGTAATTTTGCTCGCACCAGCCTAATCGTGCTCTTGTGTAATTACTTAAGAACTTATAATTTCAAGCTTTAGAATATTGAGCTCTTCAGTTAATCATATATTGTTTTCTTTTTATATTTCACCAAAAACATAAACGTGCCGAGTCCAGCCTTAATTTTGTTAACTTCATTGTTTTTCACGCATTGCAGTACCAATTAATTAAGGTTTACGTAGATAATTACGAGATACAATTGTAATTCAAACAATAGATGCTACGTTCCATGTACTTCGTATTAAACTAAGCACAGATGCTACGTTTGAACAAATTAATTGAAACGGACAAGAGGTGGAGCAGAAGTTGATATCTAGGCTGAAGCGACGATTATTTGCCAAATCATTTCCAAAATGTCTACGCCACTGTTTTTTTGTGTTTTTTTTTTATCTGCCAAACATTATTTATTAAAGCTATTTTGCTGAAAGAATATTCTATTCTTACTTCGTTTCCTTTTGTTGACACATCTGTTTTGATTGTGTTTTTAACTTACTCATATAATGTAACTGTTATGAAAATTTTATAACTATAATACACTAAATTACTTCGAGCGCTATGTATACGAGTTAAAGTACACAAATACAACAAATAGAATACAATATCGTATTATTGCTTTCACCCTTTCCTGAGAGAGCATAAAAATGAATGTATTTTATCAAGATTTGTAATTATTGTTTTATTACAATTGTATTAGTTCTGACTAAATGCAATATAATGGATTCCTTCAGACAGTCCAGTTCCGTTCTCCTATCTGGCTGCAGTTTCTGCCTAGTTAACCACCTGCAGTAGCTATCTGACCCAGGTTATCTCCATATTTACCCTATACAGCAATTGTCCGATTCACACTGTCTTATCCAATTCAGTAGTTGTCTGATTCACATTATCTACGTATTTACTCACCTGAAATAGTTGAATAACTCATAGTATTTCTCTATTTAGGCATTTGCATTAGCTGTCTGATCTACATTATATCGTATAACTACGCAATTTAATGAATAGTGACAGAATAATACGTTTTGGAGTCCGAATAATCAATAAAGTCTAGTGTAGTTACGTCACCTTTTAACCCTCAAAATGTCGTTAGTTTAACAAAGTATTAATCAGAAGACAAATGCCAGAATGCAGACATTCGCACTAGAATTTACTTTAGTGCTCAAGATAAATAAACAAGTTCACTCCAAATAACTTCGAATCTATCTTACGATTTGGTTACCAAACGTCAAGAAACTTGATAACTTTCTGAAATGAGCAAGTTGTATTGAATACAAATAAGTCCAACTGACAAGACGCAAATGGCGGAAGATGAACACTCATCCAGTAGCAATATCTAACAATTTAGTCTGAAAAATATTTATTGGTAGCAGAATTATACAAACTAACAGCATCCAAAGAAATGATTTACGTAAACTTTTTTATTGTACATAATATACTTTACTGGGAAGTTAAAATGTTTTCACACCAATTAGATAAATGCTATATATGACATACCGAAAACGTGTGTACAGATGTTTATGCCTTTAGTCGTAGCAATATCACCTACTAGAGAAATTATATCAATTTTTTTGTAAAGATGTATTTATTATACCAGCAACAACATGAGTTCAATGTTAACTTTTGCCATGTATTGGTGATTTTTAAAGTAACAACAGTAACGTTGTAAGATATCATGTTTTTTCTTTGTGACAATTTTAAGGTCAAGCATTATTTGTAGCCCTGGTATTGGACGAAAGGCCTCGTCGGCATTCATAAGTTGTTGTAATATTTAGATCACAATGACATGTGTCGCAATAGGTCGCTTTAAGACCATCTTAGTCGAAATATTAGGTGTTATGAAAATAACTTAAACGAGATAAAAAAATCTGAGTTTCCAAACAACTAATCTAGCGATTTCTAAAGTTTATCCTAAAATAGTATAGCGGAGTGCACAAGGTTTCGTGGGTAAGTAACTAAATATTCATTTACACTATAATAGTTCAAAATACAATATAACAGAATTAACTGCCAAAAGTAGTTAAGTAATATCTGACTTAAATCACTTTGATCCAAATCCTTAAAAACAAACTATCACAATTCTCTCTCTTTATTATGGTAACTTTATGGTTGAATTTAAGACAAGCTTGTCGAATGAGATGAACTAGGGCGAGTTCCATGTGATTTAACCCTTCAACTGCGGTTGACATTATATGATGCAAGCATTCTGCGCGCAACATTTTGAATGGCCCGCCACAAAAATTCGCGAACGAAGGGTTAACTATGCTTTTTCTTCTCCCTGAAAGATGATTCAGCAAATTCAGACTGAAAGAGGAAAACATAGCACATCCTGCAAACCACTTTTAGTGACATTAAGTTATTATATTTGGAATCAATGTTACGAAAAGTTTAACAAAATGTCAAAATTGTTTTCTTTTGTTGTTGTTGTTTTAATTTAGAAAATTTCCTTAACATAAAAGTAAACGAATTAAAGTTACAAAATAAAATAGCTATTCGCAAGCTATGCTGCTGCTATTAGTTTAAATTTTAAATAAGATTTTGTGTTCCTGGAATTTCTGTCAGATTAATGGTGAGTAAAACTTGTTACTACTTTCTGTTTTACCCCCCAGTGACACAGCGGTATGTCTGCGGACTTACAACGCTAGAATTCGGGTTTCGATACCCGTAGCGGACAGAGCACAGATAGCCCATTGTGTAGCTTTTTGCTTGATTACAAACAAACAAACAAACTTTCTGTTTCTGTACTAAAATAAAAAATAGTGAGTACATATCAAGGATACACATTCTTAGAAAACTGAACTAATGTTATTAACCTAAAAAATCAGATTAATCAGACTAATGAGGTGTCAGATCAACTAATAATTTTCATAAATAACGCCTCGCAGGCTAAGCAAGATTTTTCAACTTAATTTTTTACTCGCCCAACTAAATTATTTTAATCAGCAATATTTGTTTGTTGTTAAGTACAAAGCTACGCGATCGGCTATCTGCTCTCTGCCCACCGGAGGTATCGAAACCCGAATTCCAGTGTTATAAGCCCTCATACTTACCGTCGAATCGTGGGTAGGCTCACTTGCAAGAGAAGGAATACTTTAACACTTAAAATATCCTGAGCTTTAAAAAACAGTTTATTAGCACTTAAGTAGCTCGTAGGTTTGAAAAAGAAAAACAAGATCGAAGAAGTTTAGAGCGTCTGCGCTACAATTTTGTGTGATTAGTTTCTTTTTATAGGCTCTACAAAATGCAAGTTGTAAAAATCTCAACAACTCTCGAACTACGGTACAAATGAAATATATATATTTGAAACAATACTGTAAGGATCAAAATGTATCTTTCCTTCGTAAAACGCTATTTTGATATTAAAAAGAAAAGAAAAACTTAAAAAAAAATATACCAATAGATTTGTTCCTTTTTCTCCTTTGGATAATTTATAATATAAAAGTAATGCATTTCTTTTCAGAACTGTCGTTCTGGTAGATAAAGCTAATATTAATACCTTCGGGAATTTTGAACAACTATCCAATTATAAATACATGCAGAACATATAAATAATGTTACAACACAGATTAAAACTCTTGTGTTAAACGGGTTGTCTATACAATAGCCAGTTCAGTCTGTTATTTCTAATGAAAAAAGATATTCAATTCGCAAGATATTCTAAAAGTTTATTTTCCCCTTCTTCTTAAGATTTCTGCCAATCACCGATTGTTAGCAGTACAGTATTGTTTGAATGATGAATATAGTCGAGTTGTTCAGAAGATCGAACACACGTAAACATGTGTGTGATATAGCCCACCCTTGAATCACTGTATGCGGTAGGAGTAACTTTTTGTCTTTCAATAGCCCCCCCCCCATCGTCACAGTGAATAATTTACTACTTTTGCTGCCGTACTCCCCAGGAGCCAAGAACAGTCCAAGGGTCAGATGAGAAGTGTACTTAGTAGAACATCTTGAAGAAATACGGTTGAAGAGGGTTCCAGATATGATGGGTGCCATCGCTTTTCACTAGGTCGACCGGTGGGGTTTCGATTCCGAACTGACCTAGGTGTGCCA